TATAAGTCTCTCAGGGATTTCAAAAAAGCAATCGAGTTTTATCAGCTGGCTCTAAAAATCGCAAAAGATACTGGAAACAAAGATGGAGAAGGAGCTATAAATAACAACCTTGGCATGGCCTATCAGTCTCTCAGTGAATTCCAAAAAGCAATCGAGTTTTATCAGCTGGCTCTAAGAATCGCAAAAGATACTGGAAACAAAGATGGAGAAGCATGTACATATATTAACCTTAGTAGTGCCCATCAGTCTGTCAGTGATTTCAAAAAATCAATCGAGTTTTCTCAGCTGGCTCTAAAAATCGCAAAAGATACTGGAAACAAAGATCAAGAAGCAACAACATATATTAGCCTTGGCGGTGACTATCGGTCTCTCAGTGATTTCAAAAAAGCAATCGAGTTTTCTCAGCTGGCTCTAGAAATCGCAAAAGATACTGGAAACAAAGATCAGGAAGGAGCTACATATAACAACTTTGGCTTTGCCTATCAGTCTCTCAGTGATTTCAATAAAGCAATCGAGTTTTATAACCTGGCTCTAAAAATCGCAAAAGGTACTAGAATCAAACACGGAGAAGCAAGTACATATAACAACCTTGGCTGTGTCTGTCAATTGACCAAAAAGTTGCAAAAAGCAATCGAGTTCTATAAGCTGGCTCTAAAAATCGCAACAGATACTGGAGACAAAAATCAAGAAGGAACTGCCTATAACAACCTTGGCTTTGCCTATCAGTCTCTCGGTGATTTGGAAAAAGCAAAGAAGTTTTATGAGCTGGCTCTAAAAATCGCAAAAGATACTGGAAACAAAGATCAAGAAGGAATTATATATCAAAACCTCGGCAATGCCCATTGGTTACCCAGTGATGTCAACAAAACAATAGAATTTTATGAGCATGCCATAAGTATAGCTAACGAGACTGGAAATAAAGATGTAGAAAGATGTGCATATGCTAACCTTGCTTGTGTTTTTTGGGCTCATGGCGAATACTTCAAAGCCGAGCAGTGTTTTAAATCCTCTATTGAACTGGTAAAGGAAATGAGAGTCCTCCTTCAAGGAAACGACGAGTGGAAAATCGCCGTTCGGAATGAACGTGATTGCGTTAATCATTTAGTGAGACTTCAATTACAACAACGCATTGAACGTAAGACACACGAGGCGCTTTTTACAGCTGAGGCGGGACGAGCAGAAGCTCTCGTGGACCTCTTGGAATCGCAATATGGCGTCAGGAAATCGATCCGTTCACTGTCGGAACAGCAGATGCAACTTATCATTTCAAACCGTATATCGTCACCCACGCTATTTCTAATGGATGACACCCAATCAGTGAATATCTGGATGCTGTTAAAGGGGGAAAAGCAGTGGAGGTTTGTGCAACAGGAAGTCAGTGATGACTTGACATCAATGACTTACCAAACCTACAAACAGATTGGTGTGAACAAAAGCATGTGGCCTAAGAGTCGCTCTCAGAAAGAGATTGAAGACCAGAGAGGTGCCTTAAAAGTATTGTACGACATTGTTATTTCTCCAATTTCCCACTCGATAGCAGAAGGTGATGAAATCGTTATTGTCCCTGACGGCTCATCGTTCTTAATTCCTTATGCTGCCCTTTTGGACCAAAATGACAAGTATTTATCTGAAACGCTTAGAATTAGATTGGTTCCATCACTGACAAGCTTAATGCTGCTGGCAGAATGTCCAGGGGACCGCCATAGCACATCGGGGGCTCTACTCGTTGGCAACCCGTGGGTGGAAACTGTACGCATAAACTGCAAACCGATTCAGCAGCTTCCAGGTGCTGAGGAAGAGGTAAAAATGATTGGGCAAATTCTAAACATCGAGCCTCTCACCGGAAAGAACGCTACAAAAGATCGGGTCTTAAGCGGGCTTAACTCAGTTTCGTTAGTGCACATAGCAGCACATGGTCGTACAGAAACCGGAGAAATCATTTTGTCTCCTAATTTTCGTAGTAGTGACAAAAGACCTGAAGAGAAAGACTTTCTTTTGAAGATGGCAGACGTGTTGGATGCAAAAGTGCACGCCAAGCTTGTTGTCTTAAGCTGCTGCAACAGTGGGCGAGGAAAGATCAAAGTCGAAGGCGTGGTTGGTATTGCACGCGCCTTTTTAGGAGCCGGTGCGCGTTCTGTTATTGCGACTCTGTGGGCGATTGATGACGAAGCCACTCTTGCGTTTATGAGACACTTTTACGAACATTTAGTAGCAGGGCAAAGTGCAAGTAAGTCACTTCATCATGCCATGAAAAGGATTCGGGAGTCGGAAAAATTCAAGGCCGTGAAGCACTGGGCTCCATTCGTGCTGATTGGTGATGACGTAACAATGAATTTTGGCCAATAAAAGGTGAGGTCCTCTCTGTAAGATAAGATATAAAAATAATCACATGTTCGTAGACTTGAGAAATGAAAGAGCTTTAACCTTTAGATCTTAGATTTCTAGCACCTGACTGTTTGGAACGGAAGCCTTTTATTTTCTGTAAAATACATTTGAGAAACAAACAACCCGACAGAAAAGTAGTCATTTAATCCGCAGATCGACAGAATCAGAATAACAGTTTGTACAACTGATGTAATAAAAAACAAAATGGAAAACGAAGATGTAGCTTCATTTGAATTCTCGCACCTGAGTCTTTTATTCATAGGTTAACAAAGAATCAAGAAAATATAAAAAATACAGTTAGTAAATCAAGCTTATTGAGATTTCATCTCTAAGCCGTCAACTTTTCAGAGTCTACCACTATTACTGTCTTCACTTGTGTTCGACCTCTAATAAGCATTTCTTTTCATGTTCAGTTAAAGAGTTATTCACGGTATCAAGAATTAATGCATCTGCAGGAAGAAAGAGTATTGTGAGCAGAGCAAATTCCCGCCTCCTGTGGGGTACTCCTCTAAGAAAATTTGGCAAACTGTTTTTTTCCTTCTGAGACTTAAACCGCTTCTTTTAAAAGTCAAATGAATAAAAACATACACAATTCCAGGCCTTTTTTCCAGGGAGCACAAATTTTAGGCTCACCTGATTTCGGGCCCAGAATCTATACCCAATTTCAGGTCAAAAGAATCCTCTATTAAGCCCCCCTCTCTCAAATAAGCTCCCCCGCTAATAAGCCCCCCTTCTCTTTTAAGCCCCTCTTCCCCTCCCCTCCTCTTATTATTCTTCACTAATTTATGAGATACTATATTTATGAATCACAACTGTAACACTTCATGTGGACTGGTCCACGATAGTTTTTTTCAGCAGCTGGACTTTCAGATTTGTTTTTGATCCTCGGCTGCATGACCTACAACCATTGTACTTGACCTTTCACACTTTGCAGTTATAGTTCTTTTATGGAAAACTGATACCATCGTCTTTGCTAAATTATGTAGGCCCCCCTCCCTCAAATGTGTTTGAAACAATAATAGAGGGTTTACGATAACTATAGAGTTTATTTAAGGGATTAAGGGCCCACCCTACCTTTACAAAGAAGTGGAGCCTATAATAACTTGGTTGTTGCTGTCTTGAATCCATTGCAGGCCAACGAAAGAAATAGATGGATTTCCGATGTACATTTGGAATCGTCTTCACCATACTGAATCCCCACTGCGTCGCTTTCCTGCGACAGGATCAAGTGCTATCATCTTTCACTCCAGTTTAACTGGTTGCTATCCATAGCAACAGACGACAGGGAACAGTTTCAATACAAATATAGTCTCAAATAACGAAACTGGACCATTATTTCTGGAACTTTTTGTAGATGTAAACACGCCTTTGAGCTTTCAAAAAGCAGGATAGCAGATGCATGATATAAGCCCCCTTAACAATGCGCTGTACAACCAATCGTTCTCGAACGGACCATGTGATGAGTTGTTATCAAGTGAACTTCCCCAGCTAGAATAGGTATTAAATAATTGACTTTCAGTTTTATGAGAGCTCATAGATTTCATTAGTTATTGCTTTTACTGTGTACAGCGAAAATGATCCTACTACGAGAAAGTTAGCCACAATACTCATTAGATCTCTCAAGATACCCCAATCTGGGATAAATATAGTGTAAAAGTATACTCAATTAAATATCCCTGGACGTGCCCATAATATACAACTATCCCCGAAGTGGAAGTTGTTTTAGTATTTACCAAATCAGCCGAATAAAAATGAGAAAAAGTACAGTGTACAGTGCATTTTTACGATTTTGTCGCAAATTCAGCATGAAAATAATTTTCTACCTACCAGTAAACACTGACAAGCCTAAGATAGTCGCTTTCTTGGTATTTGTTTATAAAGACTGCTTCATTTATCGGTTAAATTTCGTCTTCCCCAAATGCCTCGAAGCGAGACGCCATCTTGGCTCCGGTCGCAGAACAGTGAATAGCCAAGGATCTTCCGAGTTGCGGGAGCCAATCAAAACGCACGAAAAGTGCTATTCACTGATTTGGTAAATACTAAAGAACAATAAAAATGAAACATATTGCGCATATACCATACAAATATATTGATATGCGTATTACAAATAATGAAGATACGATAAGAATAACAAATTGGCAAGAATTTACAAAGTAAAAACTAAGAATGCCTAAAAAATAAAAATTGGATCAAATTAGTCAGGTCAACTAAAAGCTCCCTCCGCTGACAACAGCGCTCTCACATGCTCAACTTATTTATCCAGCGAGACTGCTTCATTTACGTAAGTGAGAAGAATGGAGATGAGTCAATTTAAGAGAGATTTTCATAGTCATACGCGCAGTGGCTCTTCGCCAAAAAGCACACACCCTCGTTAATAGACGGTCTCGATGAGGGGGTACAAATGTCAGTTGTAAGTTAAAAATTTGGCCATTTGTCAGTTTTCAGTTAAATTTAGGGCTTTTTGTGAGTTGTCAGTTAAATGATTATTGATGATTAGCTATGAAACTTATTTGTATATTTTTGATGCGAAATTTAGCTTTAAAGACACATATAATGTAATTAAAATTAATGATTAAATTCCAAAAGTGATGTAATAGTACCTTAATTTTTATCAGTTTTGTTATTGTTAGCATTTCAAGTGGCCCTCCATTTCTCAATTCTTTTGTTATTCCCTTCCACTCCAACGTTTCTGCTGGCCCAGAGTCCAACGTTTCCAACCATTATGCCAATCAAAATTCATACCTTCAGAATATATTATTGGGACGTAGGTCGAAAGAAAGACCGTATCTGAATCATCTCGGAAAAAACTTGCAATTGCTTTTGAAACGCCCTCATTAGCAGCCATCGTATGCTGGCGCGTTCTCAGAGGAGCGTAAATTTGAGATCATAGGTCATTTTTACCACAAATGGTACATAACATGGGTTTTACAGTAAATCATTAACCAAATATGACACTTAAGTGTCTTGCTGCTAAGATTACCCCAAAAACGCACATTTGATCACATTGTGTGACGTAAAGAGTGGAACAATGCTATTTAAGGCCTTAAAACGGGTTTTTTGGAAAGTAAGGGACAATCAGGTCCTTCATCAGTTGTCGGTAAAACCCAAGGCAAATGTCAGTTGTCAGTTAAATTTTAGGCTATTTGTCAGTTGTCAGTTAAAATTTTGGCCATTTGTCAGTTGTCACTCAACCCCATCCAGACCCTCTTAATACCACTAGCATTCCACTAGCAAGGCGCACTGAAAACAAAACGCTTGACCGTCGCTTGTCTTTTAACCAAATGTGGTAATCGAGCAAGATGGTCCGCTCAGTCTTCAACAATTTCTTAAACACTCAGTCCACCGCAAGCAGATTTAAAGGGATTGAGATTTGAGAACTTCCTCCCTCTAGTCTCAAATCTTTAAAACGGCTGTGCTTTGATTCTTCTTTTGCAAATTCCGAATTGACTACTGATATGCAAAAATTTAGTAAAGTGCGTTCGATACCACTTATTTCGGAAGCAGAACGCAAAGAACGATTCCATTAACACTCCTGCATCAGAAATTTCCTAATTTCTGAAGTTTAAAAGAAGTTTATATACAACCCTTAATCCAAAACGGGCATCAGAGTACTAGAGAGTTTAAATATGGACAAAACGAAATATGTATACTCAGTGGGGAACGCCTGATCAATTAAATGCATTTAATAGAATTTTACTATGTAACTTTCCTAGTCCCACACGTTAATTGCGGGTGACAAGAGGAGCCCGCAATCCTAATCTCCAGGCTGTTATTAAGCATGCGTCGCATGTCTGTGGCCAGCATTCGTTTGGACTTGCACTAAGAATGAATGGAATGCACAGAACGCAATTTGATCACTCGCGATTGGACCTTTTATCACCCGTGATCTGATCACGCGTGTTTTGACCGACTATCACGTGAAACTTGCGCGAAGCACAGCGTCGGAGCAAAAGCGTTTTGACCTTCAATCGTTGTCACCCGCACTTTGCAACCTTTGGTTATTACTAGTTGATTGCCATTCAAATACAGTAAAATATAAAATGAACTTTTAACGATGAAGCTCTCTCCCTTCCTTCCTTCCTAGTATTCGAACAAAATGTAATCAGAAATAAAGTCTAATCAAACGATAACCCGCGATAGCTGTCGAATAAAAACACTTTCAAAAAGGACTATGCAGTATACTTAAAAACCAATATTTAGATAATTAAGTAAAGAAATTAACAAATTTGAGAGTAAAACTTGTGGAAAGTCATGCAGCGATCCGTTGAGTTCAATATAAAAACATATTATTCTTTCGGTATACTTAAAAACAATAAATAAGCGCCGATATTGATATCTATTACGTTTTTATTCTTTTTAAAAATGTTTAAGGAAATTCAAATGAATCAGTTCAGCTTAACAACAAAATTAATCCTTTGAAATGTTGCATTATTAACTTGCGGTGTGCTTAAGAAGGGCAGGGTTTTTCAGTAATGCCACAGCAAACAAAGCCTTTGCATATCTGTGGTCAATAAACAAGACAGCAAACGCTTGCATTTGTTTTGTCTTTTGAGCTCAAGAACTTTTTTCATTATCTTTGCTGCAATGTTTTCTAAGTTCTTTTCGGAGAGATTTATATATACAGGAGACGAAAGAAGTCTAAGAGCAAAAAAAGAAACAAACAAACAAGAAAAAATGCCAACACGATTTCATAAATTATAAATCATTTGCAATATTTTTCCAAGTTAACCTTTCGGTTAAATAGTTCTTAACGAAATAAAATTAACCAGTCAGGTTTGTTTAGGCTCATTTTCACCAGCAAAAGTGTTTCCAGTGCGCACCTTGCTACTGTTTTGTCAAAAATATGTTATATACCCCTTTATAACTAGCCGATAGTTTCTTTCTGATTCGAGAAGTTAAGGAAAAACTCTGAATACAGTTCCGTCAAAATTCGTGTTTCTTGTACTCTCTATTAGAGCCAAGACAGAAAAATGGCAGATTAGGCTTGCTCTTGTTCAGCGACTGAGCAACTGCGGAAGATGGTTTTTCATACGCTCCACATATATATGCACCAGGGCAAGACTGAATTAAACTATTTAGATTCAGCACGAAATTTTGGTGGCCTATATTTGTAGTCTAGAATGTAATTTATCAGTAAATCTGACTGCAATCGCTGGATAGTGGAAGAAAGAAGAGAAACCTCTGTCAGTGAATTTTTTTTGTTCTTATTGTTCTCATGGTGAAACCTAGCGAAACAAAGCAAGAGGAATAACAGAAATTAATAGTCGATCATTCAAGGAAAAATAAAGATAAATATCAAAATGTTCCTTTAATGCTGACACTGATTTGAGATGCCCGGATGATCACATGTTGATAAGCGGTCGTTCATTTCTGTTTACGTTTGAACATGTAAACATTCGAATGAAAGAACTGTTCTACTTCGAACGTGGATGTTTTTTGTTCATAGCAAAAATATAAGAAAAATTTCAAAATTATAAAGGAGAAATGAATGAAGTATGAAATAATCTACCTTTGCTTTAAATGGGAACCTTAAATATTCAGAATCCACCTTAAAAATCGCCAAAATGTGAGGGTGTTTTAAAAATCATTTTGTAAACGATACTCGTTTAGATCCCAGACCTCTCCCTTCTTTGCACATGCGCAGACGTTATTCTGTTCTGTCATGAAATACTAAAAACCAAGTGTTTGAAGGCGACGACAATGACCACTCCATTTCTTACGCGATTTTCCGCCAAGAAAAACGCGGGTTGCACAAATGCATCGCACGATTTCCCGCCAAGAAATATAACAGACACCTCCTCCCGACGAGCTGACACCTGATTCCCTTCCCTACCCCGCCCCCCAAAGAGTGTACGGGCTGGCGGACTACACTGACGTCACAATCAAAATTTCCCGAATGGATGGTTTACCAAATTTTCTTAGCTATGGGGTTCCGCTCGCGCGCGCGAGAGCGCCAGGAGCTGCGTATAACTTTCCCAGTCCAAGCCTTAATAGCTCACATCGGAAAAGAGTGATAGCCTGGGACCCAAACTGAGCGCGCGCATTTATGGGATTACTTGGGGACGCAAATGTAAACAAATATGGCGGAAAGCGAAGTGGAATGTTTCAACAGGGTTAAAACAGCTCAAATTAGCAAAACAGAAGGTGGAATTGAAAAAAAAAAACATGAAAATGTGAAGCTGAAGGAAGAGGATGTGCCTGGGGCAATTTAACCTCGAGAAAAACCCGACGAATGCACCGTGAAACAGCTCCAGAGATGGCTTCTTTGCTGTGGAGCTAAAACAACCGGAAAGAAAATGCAGCTCGGACAGAGGTAAGTACGCGCGGACTGGGAAGGTCCTGAAGTTATTTGTGCACAAAAAACACATGTCAACAACTTGTATGTCTCGTCATAATTCAAGGTGGCTGCTCGACTTGTTCCCCCAAACTATCCCAAAAATGAAATGGATTTTAAGAAATTTTTTGTTAGCGTTCTAATCTAAGTGATGATGACATGTTTCTGCTTATGCAGCAAAGTAACATATTTTGGTCTAAAATAGGGCCAGGATTCGGAGAACAGGGCGGCACATCCCCACCAAGAACTCCCAGGGATACCCCTCGGGGGCTATCCCTTCCTCAGAGCGAATCCTGTTGCGAATCCTGTTGCGAATCCGGTTGCGACCCTGAGGGTGGTGCAGCCGAGAACGCGGGCTTATCCCTCGCCCTGATTGCTCAAAAGGTGGATAGTGCTATGCATCGAATAAATTACTATCCAGTGCTTAGGGACCGGTCATTATTTATCGCCTGGGGGGAGGATTTTAGGGGGATCACTTGATTTTGGGGCGAAAAAAAGGGGGAATAAGTCATAACTGAGAACCCAAAAGGGGGGATCGCTAAAAACTTTGGAAGGATTCAGAGGGGGAACCACTCAAATTTGCTTGGAAAATGAAGACATGGGAGGGGGGATCGCAAAAGTCATCAAAAGTTATTAGGGGAGATCACTTCAGTGAAGTAACATTCAAAGGGGGGATCGGCTAAATTTCACCTTGTTTAACCCGAAATCCTCCCCCCTCCCCCCAAAGGCGATAAATAATGACCGTTTCCTTAGCGCAATTGTATTTCAAAATACCTATCCATTGGATAATCACTTATCCGGTGGATAGCGCTATCTGGCCTGTTCTAGGCGTTTAGATAGTGGAGTGCGGCGTGAAGGAGTCAAAGAGCAGGGGAAAAATAAGGAGGATGAGAGGGGGATAGGAGTGAACTCCTTCGCTCTTACCCCCTACCCCACCCTTTCGCTGTTTATCCTGCTGACATCTTTTTGCGCCATTCACACAATCTGAACTGGAACAGGCTGAGCGCTATCAAACGTTTGAATAACAGGAGCCAAATTTCTGCTTGCAAGTCCGCACAGGCCTTATCTTCTTTTAATCATTCTCTTTCAGCTTACAAGGCATGTCCCATCATCCACCTGGATACTGGTCTATAGTACAAATCATCATGGTATGAGCCTGAATATGCTCTATCACAGGCTGAGAGACGTGGAAACTCCTGTCGTATTGGTAGTAAAGGATCAAGAGGGATTTGTAAGTGAGCTCTATTTATACAGTGTCATGTGGAACCGATTTTCGTGTTAATCATAACTATAACAAAATTTTCAAATCTGATTGCCTACCAGCTGACGGTGTAATAGGACAGTACTGCCTAAGTAATTGGACAGTACTCGCCATCGCGCGCGCGCACTTAAATAGCTTTTTTTACCGCTAGCAGAAAACTCTCGGAATTTGTGTTTTAATTTACTCGTGATTAAACAAATCAGACTACAGCGTTAATCATTCATGTGATTACAGAACGAATTGGACTCCATTTACAGTCCTATTACCTTTATTAATTAATATAAAATAGCATTTAGGAATTTTTTTTTATCACTCTTTCCTAATTTCCAATACTTTTTCTTTTTGTTGGTCTTTTAGTACACTTTGTTCGAATTTTTTTCAAGAAAGTTTACGATGAAAAACGTTGCATTACATGTCATCATTGGAATTTGCCGGTCGAAATCTCTTCCTCAGGCTATATTAACACTAGAGGAGAAATGTCTCCGGATTTATTACATTAAGCTATAAGGTATTCGGACTTGTAGGCGTTTACACAAACACAGCCAATTGGAAAAACTTAATTCGCACTGTTCACTTTAGCTTACGAATTCATATTTTTGGGCACGCGACCAAACTCGGATGTTTGTATTTCGGCTCAGGCAGTCCAACTAGCGTAGACCTAGCTTCAAGCCTTATGCATGTATCCCTGACCTATTTGACGAAATGGCTCTCATGTTTCGCCTCCTCGAACGATTTTTGTCTCCTGCACAACATTTACATCATAGGTAACTTTCCACAAAAGTAAAAAGATCGCAAGAGATACAGATAGTGGGTCCCTCCACCACACACGTACACGGTTAATTTGGGGCGTCTATATTTCCAGTATTATACATTTTGAAAGTGAAATCAAGGTTTTTGTTTCTTAACATTTGTTCATTAGGTGTTTGGTGTATTTTCTCCAATTTCTCCTCGGATGGACGCTAGTTTCTGTAGGTTTGGAAAATCATATTTCTTCACCTGTAGACCACAGTTCAAGGTAAGCTTAGCGATAAGACCGAAAACTAAATATATTGTCCAGTGTTTCATCTGGCGGACGACCAGTTCTTTCCACCAGCGCTTTTTCTTCACCTACGCACGAGACCCTTAAGACGTTTTTTAGTTTATCCGAGCAGTATACAGGACGCATGTCTATGAATCTAGTGACCGACTTAGCTCTCAAACGACTTCTCCCATACAGTAAAATGGTGGTATAGTGTTTGAGGGCTCAGACGTTTTCCTTGTCCCAAAAGTTACTCTTTTTTCCTGCATCACTGTGATTCTTTAAAAAACACGACATCGTTATTAGCCCCATGTAAAAGAATTCAAGACAGTCTCGGATTCTGGATGGCGGATTCTTTGTCAAAGGAACTTGGATTCCGGATTCCACGGTTAGTGCTATTCCGGTTTCCTTGAGCTGTATTATGGATTTCAAAATCCAGGATTCCAGATTACACCAGATAAAATTCTCAAATTACAGATTCCAGAACCAAACATTTTGCGGATTCCGGAATCTGGATTCCCGAGTTACCTGGGGAAAAGTTATGTTCGTTATCGGGACGCACGTAATCTCACCCTAGGTTCCAGAGGATATTTTTTTCTTGTCGATACTGATGTTTGCAGCGTCAACGAGGCGCCGAGAGAAAAAAAAAGTCCGTCTCGAAAACCTTATCAACCGTAAGCACGGTTTATTTCATTTTGGGTATTTTAAGAACGGACTTCTGGAGCCAGGGTAACGTAGGCTCACAATATCACATGTAATTAGAGATACAGGTATCTACATTGGCTTGGCTCTTTTTGTAGATTTATCCATGCCGTGGAAGAAATTCTTACTACATGACAGGAGATGCAAATGGACTTGCCTTCGGAAGCAGTGAGTAAATGTTTTCTTTTCACTTTTTTTGTATTTAATGGCACTCTTCCCTTCCGGATGTTGACAAACAATACGTATACTATACTATTTTGTTTATGAATTTAAAGACGATTTGTAGATTACATCAATGAAATAAAACTTATTTTAATTGACAAAGCAATGATCTTCAGTCTCTAGTTGAGTTGTGTGTTGCTCAAGCGAGTCGTTCCCAGGTCACGGGTAGGAAAGAATCCTTGGAACGAGGTTGTGTGTTGATGAGTTCATCTCTTTTACAGCCATTTTGAGAAAGGTGGTCGGAAAAAGTGCACGCGACAATCCCGAAAGGCATTGTGGGTGGTTTTTAAGTCACTCTTCTTCAAAGAAATTTGAAAGAATCGCATGAGAGGCCATGGACGTATGTTTGCGAGTGCTAAAGGAAAGCAACAAAAGTAGGCTGGACAGCTACAGCGTCAGGGAACAGTGTATTGATCATATCCCATATTACCTTTCGGGATTGTTGCGTCCATATTTTTTGGGACAACCTTTCTCGAAATAGCTGTATATTAAAACCCTTCTTCGTTTGACTATTTTCATTTTTTTTGTGTCTAACTGCCTAAACCTCAACCCACCTTTGTTCTTTGGGCCTTTAAGTTGGTCCAAAACTGCCCATATTGCTAGATGCAACATTTGGATCTGTCTTTTGAATATATAAAACAGCTTTGCATGACTTCGAAGGACTTTTAGGACCAACAGCCCGTTCTATTATGTTGTGTTATGTTAGAAAAAAAATGATGGGTCTGTTCACGCGACGAAGTACCAAGAACGCTTTTCAAAAGTCAGAACTGGCCGACCAGACGTCTGAGTAATTGAAACGTGGAACAAAAGTCTTTTCTCCAAATTTTTTTCTGTAATCATAGGAGTGATTTACAAAATCGCGGGAGTCCGATTTGTTTAATCACGGGTATGATTACCAACCGAATTGGACGATACAAATCGAAGTTCTGTTACAATTTTGTCATAATCATTACAATTTTCGAGAAAAACAACTGCATTTTGTTTTTGTGAAAGAGCTTTTAATACCAATTATCCAAAATTAGGGAAAATATCAAAGAGACATTGTGTAATGTTACAAATTCGTCCATTTTTGCTTTGGTTATAGTGATAAATTCTGCGCTTAAAGGTGTCCGATTACAGTCAACTGTCCGATTACAACCCTACACAATGATTGGTGAAAAATAAAGCAGTCAACGCACCAATCAAATTTGAGGAAATTGTAACGGTTATGATTAATAGTGGAATTCTCTTTTTGATCGGGCTCCTCTAGCCAGCCAAAACTAACAAATAGTAAGCGCCCCTAGTATGCTGACGCGAGGACACAAAGAACGGCAGCGTTAAAGACTATGAAGCACCTTGATCACTATTAAATTCTTGTTAATTTTCAGGGGGAAATTTGGGCTTTGGTTAGACAGTGATCTGTATCATGGTAGAAGCACTGCCTGCGAAACTTATGACAGCGAGATGCTTTCCGCCACCGAGGATTTCATTTGTCTTGGCGTTGAAGTCTGGACTTTTGGCTAGATGGAAAAGCAAGATCAGTCTCTGTCAAGTGCCAAGTAGCAATCAGCCATATAATATGCGATTTAAGGTGATATTACACGAGACGATTCGCAACAACGATTTTTAACGCAACACAGCGTTGCAACATTGTTGCGACATTGATTCAAATGGTTGCAACATTGTTCCAGCATTGCAATGCTGTGTTGCGCAAAAAATAGTCGTTGCGAATCGTCCCGTGTAACATCACCTTTTCGCTTTTCAGATAATGATACAAAGCAGCTGTCATCTTATTATGGGCGTGCCTAAAAAGACTAGGGTATCTTTAGGAAAGTCCAAATTCAAAAACGGACCCAATGTTCATTTACTGAAATCCAGGAGAGATTAAATTTTTAATCTGAAGAATCCACAAACTGAGTGTATTCTTTAGTCTTCATCGTGGCCATTTTAGGGTCGTCACCCAACACTTCTTCACCCGTTCCCCGTTGCGTAACGACCTTAAAGGACTATGGATTCATCAGAACAAATTTAAATCTGGATTTTTAGGATTCATGACCCAGACTCAGCCAGCGTGCCTTTCTTTCGTCACTAATCCGAAAGAAAGCACACAAGGTGGAGGTTGGCCAACCACGCCTCTCCGGTTTGCGCCATATGCTAAAGGTCCTAAAGATCCATTATCGGATTTTCCGTTTCTTTCGTTGTAACGAATTCAAATAATCTGAGTTCGATAATCTTATCTTGGATTATCCCAAAGAAAAGCCCGCTAATCATGTGAGCAATATCTGTCATGTATTTGACCATAAAAGGTGCGATCAGGACTGATGTAGATAATATGGTGGATATTATAGATATTATTTTAGATATGATAGTGTAGTAGATCAATCAAAGTGAAGGTATTTGCTTCAAATCAGATGAATGAGTAACCCCTGGAGATATTAGATACATCCTGAGGTTTGGCTTGTTGTCTGAAATACTGAATTACAAAGAAGTGTCAGTAACCGAGTAATCACGTCCGTTGTCGGTGACCACTGTCTTTCAGTTTTGAATAATTGCTAAAGGTAAAGCTTGACATGACGCATAGTGTGACTGTCACGCCAGTAGTATGTGTCGTGGTCTGTTATTCAAAGTAGCGGAATCAAGCTAGACTACTCAGAGTCCCCTATTTTTCCGTAAGATCGTCGAGATCGAGCGCTTTGCGTTACGGGCGGCCATCTTGGATGCAATGAGTTTCAAATCTACTTAGGGGGCGGGGAACATTTTGGGAGAAGGCGACAGAAGGACTGTCCTAACCCCGCTTTAGATAAAAAACATACCAGACACATCCGCGTGTTTACAAACATCTCATACCCAATGTCGAAACAATGATTTTGTATAATACAATCAACAGGGACATTGTTCCAAATAAAACAGGCAAACATGCACATTTGAAACATTTTCCCAATCGAGTGGCAATTTTTCTCGCCTCCTCTGACAATATCTCAAAATCTTCTAAATATCATTAAAAATATCTGGATATTTGTATCTAGGCCTAACCCGACAGCTAAAAAAACCCCGCCCCTTCGGTACATAAGAAACCAAGATGGCTGTCCATACCGGTAAGAGCCCGATCTTGACGACTGTGAACAGTCTAGAAACACGCGCAATAGTTAGAAGAGACCTTTGCCATTCATGTAACTATTGGAAATTTTGGTATAAATTATCTTAGTCAACATGAGAAAACAAAAAATTAACAACTGAAACTAAAGAGATATTTTAAAGATATTTTTGTTTCATGAAATTCTTAAGGTGGAACAAAAAGATTTCTATTATACAGACAGCTATAAGTCTAAAGAATATATTAATATATTTATACAGCATTTGTTAAGTATTAGTTTGGATGTATATTAAGTATAATTAAGAACGACTAAACACGTGGTTTAGTATAAATATCCATCGTTTGACGAAGATAGTTTCTTGGATTGCGAACCTATATATGTTGTGTTCGAATAAATTACAACTGTAGATCATTTCTAGAAGGATAAGAAGCGTAGCGTGTTGTTTGTCCATGTTGATTAAAATGTCATTTTTAATTTTGAGTAGGGCGGTTTGGTTCGGACGATATGCCGACTTAAGCGTAGGCAAGAGATTATTCTTAACCAAATGAGACTGAAGCTGATTCGAAACTGCTCGTTCAACTAACTTAGAAACAAATTGCCGATCACTTATAGGGCCACTGTTTTTGAAAGCAAGGTCAGTAGTGACAGAACTACACTTCTGTAGACAGTAGCTTGAAGCTATACCGGCACCCCAGCACCCCTGAACCCCAATTTTCTATCGGACCTTTAAGCTCCTTTAACAATTATTCCTCGAGTCCGAATGGCCTCTGAGTCAATAGCCCATGAGGCCTAAGGGGTTATTGACTCAGAGGCCATGAGGGCGAGAGGAATAATTGTTTTAGTAAAACTCAACTTCAGTGAAACCTCTATTAAGCGGACACCTTCGGCTTAATAGAGGTTGTAAAAATTGCTCAATGTTTGTTAATGATCAACATTCAACAGTTACTCTGTACTGTGATAAAGTTGCATGTTGTTAAAGAAGCTATCCAGAGTTCAAGTTCATTACCTTTCATCACCAACTTTAATTTGTTTGTTTATACTACTACATGAGAAATTTCTGCAATTTGATTGGCTTAGAGCAGTGGTATTTCAGCTTAATTTGAAATACCCACATGTGAAAATTACAAGACCTTTGCGGGTAGTAGTATGAACAAATAATAGCATGATTTGTACGTGATATTTGGCATAAATACCACTCGTGATATTTCAAAATTGTCTCAAATTTCACTCGCCCAGCGGCTCGTGAAATTACGTATAACAATTTTGAAATATCACGAGTGGTATTTATGCCAAATATCACTACAACTCATGCTATTACCTATACAAATGCAAAAACATTAACTGACTTCAGTACGTATTTCAAGGACGTAATCCAATACTACTGTTGTCAATTCAGTCCGTTATCCGCTTAATAGAGGTTTTTAACAATAGAGATTAGCCAAATACAACTTATTTTAGTGTCCGCGTCCACTCAATAGAGGTGTCCGTTGAATAGGGGATCCTTATAAAAGGAAATATAAGACGTTAATTTCGGAACCAGGCTTAGTGTCCGCTTAATAGAGGGTGTCCGCTTGATTTAGGGCGCGCATAATAGAGGTTTTACTGTAGTTGGTCAAAAATATCGAGACAAACCAACGTTACCTAGTTAAAGCTAAACTTGAATCCTTTTTTGCCGCCAAAAAGTCGGTGCTTTTCGCTACTAGTGGGCTATAACATATAGCCTAATAGCAGCTCAACCACTAAGAACGCAGCATTGATAATAGACCACTAGTTGGATTTTACTAATTAATTTTATCCCCTTCCGTTTCTATGGAGAAAAGTTGTCCCGGGAAATAGGGTCACTGCCTGGCTTCCCAGCTAAGTCAACTTAAGCGTGCGTTTATATGACCTCTTTACTTGAGCTAAGAGCTGACAACAGCGCTCACACTTTCTCTGCAACTTATTAATCTTGCGAGACTGCTTCATTCACGGAAGTGAGAAGAACGGAGATGAGTCAATTTGAGAGCGAGTGATTTTCATAGCCACGCGCAGCGGCTAGCTGCCAAAAAACATTCACCCATGCAGATACCGCTATACATACTCAGGCATACTGAAAACAAAACGCTTGACCGTCGGTTGTCTTTTAACCTGGTAGAGAAGCAAGACTGCCCGTTCAATCTTAAAGAAGTTCTTAGACACTCAGTACAACGCACGCAGATTTAAAGGGATTGCACTTTGAAAAATTCCTCCCTAAAGTCTCAAAATCTTTGAAACAGCTGTTCTTTCGTTCTTCTTTTGCAAATTCCGAATTGACTCCTGATATACAAAAATTGAGTAAAGTGCGTTCGATTGCACGTATTTAAGACTCCTGCGTCAGAAATTTCCTAATTTTTTGAAGTTTAAAAGAAGTTTGTATATAACTCTTAATCCAAAACGGGCAAGAGAATACTGAAGAGTTCAAATATCAGGACAAAACGAAATATGCCCGTACATTTAATAGAATCTTACTATGTAACTTTCCCAGTCCCACACGTTAATTGCAGGCGACAAGGGAAGCCCACAATTCTAAATCTCCAGCTTGTTATTAAGCATGCGTCGCATGTATGTAGCTAGCCTGCGTAGCATGGCGGTTCTGGTTGGGCGCGCTAATTAATAAAGGTGGGCGAGGGCACAGAAACCGCGAGTGCTCGTTCTCGCGCTTCGCGCGCGAATTTCTCGGCTTCGCCGCTCGTGCGCCCGGCTCTACCAAACCGCCATGCTACGCAGGCGAGTATGTAGCCAGGGTTCGTTTGGACTTCCACTAAGAATGAATGGAATGTACAGAACTCGATTTGATCACTCCCGATTGGACCTTCTATCACTCGTAGCCTGATCACGTGTGTTTTGACCATCTTCACGTGAAACTTGCTCAAAGCACTGCGTTGGAACAAAATTAAAGCCTTTTGACCTTCGATCGTTGTCGCCCGCACTCCGTAACCCTTGGTTATTACTAGTTGATTGTCGTTCTAATACAGTAAAATATACAATGAGCTTTTAATGATAAATCTCTCTCCCTTTCCTCATTCCCAGTATTAACCCTTTAAGCCCTAAGAGTGATCAGCATCAAATTTCTCCTTGTAATATCAATGCTTTGTAAAACAGAATGGTCATGAGAATTACCGACGTGATCATACAAGATAAATTTGCTTGATATTTAATCAACTTCTCCCCACTACTTCTATGGGAAATGAATAGGGGCAACAGATGAGAATTCAAATTTTGATCCCAGAGTTTAAGGGGTTGACAGACGATAATCACAAATAATAAGTCGAATCAAACGATGACCGATAGCTATCGAAGAAAAACACTTTAAAATAGGACTGTGCAGTACGCTTAAAAACCGGTATCCTGGATAATTAAGTAAAGAAATAACAAATTTTAGAGCAAAACTCGTGGAAAGTCATGCAGTGA